CGGGTATACAAAGGCGTGGTGTTATGTTATAATTTCAGCAGCCTGATCTGTACGCGACCTTATTACGGAACCACAGTAAGTGATCCGACCTCAATTTTCCAGTGCACTATAACATTTTCTTCTACATAATGAAGCAGTGCTATGCAATATTCCAAAGAATTAATTTTATTATAGCGAAAAATTAAGTATTCCAGAGGGATTAATAACGTTCGTGTATTTTTTTATTCTGCATGTTAATGAGAATTGCTTTATTGGTAAAGTTGCTTCCATTTTTGTATTGGACAAAGTAGGTAATGTTTTTTTTAAACTGTCAAACACTGCGATGACGCCGGTGACCGCAACCTATTGTTCTTTAATTATGTCTATACTGACGGTACTCAAAGGGTTAAACATGCAAGTGAACTGTTTGATACATATAAATACTTATAAAATAAATACACATATTTGACGTCGTTGGCCGAGTGGTCGCTAGTGCGACTGCCTGGCAAGGGGTTTCGGGTTCGATTCCCGGGTAGAGCAAAGTACCTTATTACTGTATTTTTTCAATTCTCAGTAGTAGCACGGCGTCTGGACTAGTGCCCGGTATATGGCAATAGACTCACCCCCTATTACCTACATGGGACTCAAAACATAAATAGTGAAAACTGGGTGTTACGTTGTACAGTGACATTAACTGCCGTAATGTGCACCTCTGCCTACCCCTTCGGAAATAAAAGACAAAAATATGCTCAGAAGTTAAGACTACACCACGCTTTGCTTAGTGTAGAATTGAAGTAAACAAACATTTGACTGCACGATTGGTGTGATGGCTGGGCAACCGGCTACCGCATATCGTGTAGCGAGTTCGATTCCCACACGGAGCAACTCTTTGTGTGATCCACAAATTGTTGCTTCGGGTCTGGGTGTCACTGTGTATGTGAACTTGTATGTTTGTTAACACACCCACGACACAGGAGAAAATCATAGGTTGGGGAAACTTGAATAAAAAAAAAAACGTTATATTAATGTTATGAAGTTTGTAATCTGTTCTGTATAATGTGAGCAATAATTATAATAATAGACAATTCAAAAAATAACAGTGCACTAATTGTGTTCTAAAATCATTATTTTTGACAAAAACTCTACTCTAATTATACAGGAATATACAAAGGTCTAATTGTCAATGTCTACGTCATAAAAGTGTGCTGAATTACATTTATTCCGAGTACAGAGTGTTCATCAAAGAAAAATACGACCAAGTTGTGCTGACCACCTGTTAACAAGAATCAGTAACTTTTATTATATAACATAACGTTACCCACGAATCGAGAAAAAAAGGTTTAAATGGTATCTCAAAAAATGCTACTTTTTTACTCACTAGATGGCACTAATCTAGCTCGTAGTCTTTTTGTCCGTCGCGGAGAACCTAACGTGTTACCGGGGCTCCGGCTCGAAACGCAGGAGAAGGCACGGGGTGGTTTTTAGTCAGTAAGAGTCTGACACTCCCTCCCGCATCACCCAGGCGGGAGCAGTCATTCGATGATTCTTCTCCCTTAAAAAAATCTTTTTGTCCATTCACAGCAGATGTCAAAAATTGAACGTCTAATGGTGTTACACTCGCTAATTCCCTATTGGACGAAGATCGAAAGGTTCACATTAGTGCCATCTAGTGAGCCAATATACAGAAGCCCCCATTATTGTAACCTTGATGTATAGTCACCTTAGTAAACATCTTCATGGATACTTCAGCGTACCTTATAGAAGTTAAACAGCAAGGTTTTTGAGATCTGAAATATAAATTAATTCATAGCTATTAATAATAATTGTGGTAAAAATAATATGTTAACTGTTTCTGAGTCTGGCAAAGAAGTATTTTGATTACCAAAATTCTGAATAATAAATAACAGAGAATTTGATCAATAAATTCAATTAATCTATTATTATTTAATTATTTAATATAAATTGAATTAATCTTTTTACATTGTAACTATATTCTGTTAATGTGACTTTAATGTAATATTTTAATTTCTGTATTCAGTTTAATAAGTACACTGCATAATTTTGATTTTATTTTATATAATTTAAATTTGATTTTTTAAATACTCTGTTAATTCATATTTGCATGCCTCCTGGTAAAATATGGTTGAGCTCGCAATTTACCACCACATACTGTATTATCCATATTTGCAAAAAAACTATCTTTATCTTTGTCTTTATCTAATATTTTAAACGCAAACGTTTGTGTGGAATCATGGATATATGTAATTGTGTACCTATGTTTGTTACTTTTAACGAAAACAATAATGAACGGATCTAAATCCAAAAGTGGATATAGATCTAAAATAACAAAAGGGGTAAATTTGTCCCGGGAATGTTATTGAAACCGCCGTCAGAAGCTACTAACATCAATACATAAGTATATGAACAGATAAGATGTCTCACCCTAGACGTTAAAACAAAAAGAGATATATCATACTTTTATAATATTGCTATTGGAAAACTAAAACAGACATTTAACTTTTTATGATGTCCAGAGGACATCCAACTTCATACAGCGACGATAAATCAATTTTATGGTCTCGTGCACTATAAAAGAGTTCAGAGAACTTTATAAAACGAGACAATTAATTTGAAGGCAATATACTTGTATACTCGCATTGCGCAAGCGTGGTGATTTATGCTCAAACCTTCTTCGTATGAGAAGAGGTCTTTGGTCAGCAGATGGCAGCTGTTGATGATGATGATGATGATGATGATACTTGTGTAACTCAAGCTATAACAATATGATAGTGTGTTTATTTACATTTTGACTTCTAAATAGTGGAACCGATTTTGATAAATTGTATTTTTGGTCATAGTGGGTGTAAGTAGCTCGGAAACATTTTTATTGGTGGTTTTGAAAATTCGATTCACATATATGGCAGTAGGGTCGCCACCATTGAATATTACTGCTAAAAATTGGGTGTTACACCTGTGTAGCATCACTTTTAACAGTTATTAAAAAATCTGTATGTGGGTTTATAGAACATAAACCAACGGTTATTGAAATAACTTTAAAAGTACCCTTAACCGATGAGCATGCATGAAAAGATTGATGACGTTGATGAAGCGAAAGAGGTATGTAGGAATCGTAGTAATTGGTGTTCCATAGTCTGTGCCTACCCCTATGGGAGACAGGCGTTAAGTTATGTATGTATGTATATAAAACTGTATAACACTCATTTAACTCATTGTATGAAAATCATGAAAATGAGCATGGCAACAAACATATTATATTGAAATAACATCATTATAAATAGTATTATATTGAATTTCGTTTTAGTGAATTGGTTGTGTCAATATTTACACAAAAGATATATAATAACATATTTAGTATTACCCAATAAATGACTCTTTAAGCCGAGTATTCATAATATTATAGCAATTAAAATAGTAATACAAATAATTAATAATATACAAAATAGTATATAATTACAATTAACATAAAATCACGCCTTTTATCCCCGAAATGCACATTATTATGGCACTCAATGTAACTGTATAATGTAACACCCACTTTTCACTTTTTATGTTATGAGTCCCATGTAACAGGGGCGAGCCTTTTGCCATATGCGACCACTCGGTCAACGAGGCAGTGCATAATTACAATTAGTTTATCTATAAAATTTCTCATCTGTACATTATCTGCTTCTAAAAGTAATTCTGTTATATTTTTGTACCCTTGTGTAAATAAATTCGTAGAAACTAAAAAGTCTATGATGTTATTTATATGTAAAGGATTCGTTTCGAAACAAACCTTATTTACAATACTTCGACCATTTTAATCAATTTTTAAACGGCTTGGCATATTAAACTGTCAAACACCAAGCGGTCACCGGTGACCGCAACCTATTGTTCTTTAATTGTGTCTATAAATACGGTACTCGACGAGTTAATAATCATAGTACATTATATTTGTATTATAACTTTCGTAAGACAAACTAAATATATTATTATGTTTTCGGCTTACTGACGTAATTATTTGACGAGGAACTCGTCTAGTTTTAAGCCATATTAGAGGCTCATATTCATGAGCAGCATTTCGCGATCTGCGACGCGGCGACTGTCGCGCTCAGAGCCTCTAGTATGGCTTGGAACTAGTCGAGTTCCTCGTCTAATAATTACGTGAGTAAGCCGAAAACATAATAATATATTTAGTACATGATACTAAAATAATTACCTACATTTTGATTATCAAAAATATTGCCATCTTGTATCGTTTGCATTCCTTGTACCACAAATTTTCGTACGCTGTGTCACCGATACTGGAACTCTGAAAAAAATAATCATAAAAAAACATACATAACATTTTATTATTTCATGAAAACTAAGAACCGAAGTAATAACCAAATTTTATTTTTAATTAATTTCAATAAATTACAAATAGTTACTTCGTATCATGAATTAAAAGAAAATAAATTGCCAACATAATTTGTAATTAAAAATTTTGATTAAAAAATTTATTATTTTCGAAATTAATTTAAAAATTTCATTAATCTGGAAATACTAAAAGCAATTAGTAGGTACACCCACAATGAAATGCAAAATGGGTAGCTTTACACTTACTTACAAAATAAATGCACAATTCATAAATTAATATAAACAATGTTGGATAGATGGACATATGTATGTACCTCGTTTTTATATAATATGTGTTGTCCTTTGTGTTATATGTATGAACATAAATAATTCATAAATAAATAAATAAATGTTGATTCAAATGAAGTGACAGACAGCTGAAGTAAGGGAAAAATAAACTAAAAATCTAAATTTTCTTACCGAAAAGAAGGTAGTGTAAAATACTCTTTCCAAAATTGACAATTTTCCAACAATATCCATCATCAAATTGATAATTTTATGCATAAATTACTATGATTAAACGCCAATCCACTCAAAACTGAACATCAACATGCATAAAATTACCGAGCAAACAAACTTTTCCCGCATAGTTTCAAACGACAACTAACTACGAAGCAATCTCGTTAATTAATAACACTATATTTAATAAGTATTAAAACTTTTACCGCTCTTGTAAGCAGCTCGCCATAGTAACATAAATACAGAACGGTGAACATGTTCGAGGCAATGCCTATATAACTGACCAACATGTAACCGGGTCCTTGGGCAAACTGGAATGGGAACAGAAATACAAAAGGTTAACAAAAATTTATATCGAATTGTTTTTGTACAATCATGTAAATTAGAGACTACTCGCCAAATGAGATCGTAGTTGTAATTACTATATTGTTTTTGCTGAAGTTATGAATCTTATCTTGGGTCTTTTCTTCAAGTTGGGAGTATTTTTGGTCTTTTGGGATCAAGTTGGGTGTCGCTTAGTCTTACGGCCGTGACATATACCTACAGATATTTTGAAAGAACTGAACCCAATGGTATCCAATGCACGGGATTATACATCTCCATCTTCAAACTCCCGGTCTAATAAAAGCATTCAAAATAGTCTACTAGCATTTATTGCCTAACCTTAGAATACCCTTTGTATTGAAAACCATTGGTCAAAGGCACTATATCAAAAAAACAGTCGTATCTCATGAATCTTAGTCGATGAATTAAGGCCATTCAACATATCCTAAGTTTCTTTAAGCCTTGAATGTCCTACACCCGTCTACGACAATCAGTGTCAATGATCAATTGGGTACTCTGAAGACATTGCACCGCAAGTTGGATTTTGATGAGATCTGTCACTCCTTATATAGTGCTCGCATTTAGTCGAGATCGGACCACTTATTCACTTATTACCAACTTCAGTAATATTATGGAATGGTCATAGTTTTATACATTTATATTTTTACAATTTCAAAGCGATTGTTTTTTTCAGATTTACACCAACATCGTGTTTTTAACTATTTTATGTGTCGGGAGAAAAGCAAATGTAGTCGCTCCGGTTTTATTTAAATCTCGTAGAGGCAGTTCACACTCAAAGGAATTTTAAAATGTTCCTCTTTTTCGACTTCACAAGTTTCATTTTTGCAACAAACTATCATAATGCAACTCTCATCGCGTAAAGCTTGAAAGTTTGAAACTGCTGTGTCTTTCTGTCGTGTGACGTATTTTACTGACAAAACACAAGCTTTTGTGGAGTTTGTTAAACATTTTTATTCGAGCTCAATTGTTTGGGAATGTTCTTTCACTGTTTTGAGAACAGTTGAGCGTAGCACAAATTGAATACGTTGTAGTACACAGAATACACAAGTTTTTAATAAAGTGCAGATTCCACCAGGGTCCTCATTTTTTTTTCCGCTCAAAGTGCCACGAATTGGGTGAAACATTAAACTTTTCGTAATTCCAACAGCTCTTTTAATAAAATGATTGTGGAATCTCAATTTACATACAAACGATTTGAATTGCGATGTCCTCTGAGGCCTGTTAAACTTTGGAATATTTTTCGTAGTTATGTTTTTTCATCGATGGCATCCAAAGAGGGGTGAACGAAATTCGTGGTTAATTTTTGTATTTATTTTATTCTGTATTTTTATTCAAAATTAATACAGTTGATATGACTTTTCAGTGGCTTCTGAGGATAATTGGCTACATTAACGATAGACGATTTTAAATCCAATCTTTTTTGAGAGGGATCGATGTTTTCTTCTTGTCAGTCCTTTAAGAATAATTACACGTCTACTCCAAAAATTAATTGAAACTGTACTTTATATCTACAATATAACTGTTATGTTTAAATTTGTTCCCAAAAACTTTTCGAGCCGTAACATTGACTTGATAAAACTCCAAACAGTTTGATCAAACTTTGCCCCATATGGCAGTCTCAAGTACAGCATCAAACAAGCAACAATAACTCACCTGTCCCATGAAACTGAAAGCACACGTCGTGATACCAACAAACAAAAGATCTATGAATACCATCCCGTTGAAAACGTTATCCAACTGGCGGGATAACCTGTCAACAAATAAAATACATGTTTTATTTATGTCCACCCCTATGTCGGCTTTGATGGCGTAAGGGGGTTAGATCGGAATACAGTATAGATGCTAAAAACACGTTTTTGAGACAGGAACATTGTATTTGCTTGTAAAAGTGTTTCTAGGATCGCCTGTGTTATGAATTACACGACGATACGTCATGAAATATTTTAAAAAGAAAGTAAAGGAATATGACCGAAAATTCTATTTTCGGCTAGTACATTTAACAAAATAATATTTTAGAATAATAATGTATACTGACCAATAGGTCAGGACATATTTATTAGTCTTGGTCAGGTCTTGGCATAATAATGGCAAGATACGTATACATTACATGCTTTTAGGTTCCCTTTTAATTGTAACGTTCTTCAGACTTAAGACTTTGATTGTATTTCTGTCATTTTATCTTTTTCATATATGTAAGGGAAAAATTCCATTCCTGGTAGAAAATTTACGACTTTTGAAACAACCGAAAAAAGAAGGGTAAATATTTTTGTCACATCATAAAAATAAGAAGAAGTAGCATCACTTATATTACATAGGCCATTGGTCTCACAGGATGAAGACCTCGTTATGACGGAAAAACTTCGGATAATGTTGGCTCAGGACCAGAAAAAGTGGCAGCTATAATAGAGATCGATTGGATGGGTTTCACCGAACTTGAAGTTGTCAGAAACTTACATGTGGTCCAAAACTTTGGGTTATACGGCTACTTACGTATTCAGGACAAAAAATTATGTAGGTTGTGCTGAGAAAATAGTCTTGTAGTTTTATGAAAACTAGTGTATATGTGAAGCATTATATGACCAGCCTAAACTTTGTTCTAGTACAACACTTGGAGTATATTTTTCATGACGACTCCGCTTATTGTTTTCACTTGAGGTGACTGCTCCTGGGTAGCCCGGGAAATTAAAATATTCACAAGTATTTTGCAATTTATTTTCATTTTATTTAATGATTTAGTTGTAGATAATTTTAAGTTGTAAATATTTATGTAGTTATAAACAATGTAATAAATTATATAATTCATCGTCCTCCAAAAGGAAGGTTTAAAAAATTAAGTTGGAAAATCGTTTTATTAGCACTTTACAGCTCGATGTTGAATACTATGATGATAAAAATTACGTACCCTAATAACTTTTGATGTCTTTTCACAAATTCTTCTATAGTCAGCTCATTATCATTATTATCACCTTCATTGGTATTATCACTGTTACGTATTTTGTTACTGAAATGTGGTATCACGCGACTCAAATCATCCTTTAGCATCAAAAATTCTGCTCCTAATAGCGCACAGGATGATATCATTATCAATGCAGCACCGGTATACATGGAAACTAGTAGGAACACTAAAAACAAAATTGTACCTAGTTATAGAACAAAATATACACCAACCACTCCTAAACCATCTCTTAACTAAAAGTTAAAAATAACTACCTTATTTGTACTGTTAGGCTGACAGGCTTATAGATAGATGAAACTCAAACGTCGTTAAATGCGATTACATTACATAACATCATGCATTTTATCCCCGAAGGGGTAGGCAGAGGTGCATATTACGGCACGTGATCATCATCAACAGCCTATAAATGCCCACTGCTGAGCAAAGCCTCTTCTCACACGGAGAAGGTTAGAGCATTAATCACCACGCTTGCTCAATGCGGGTTGGCGATTTCATACTTATAATTAGAAATTATAAGTCCAGGTTTCCTCACGATGTTTTTCCTTCACCGTTTGTCAGTGGTGTCTAAATAATCTTAGAAAGTACATATAACTCGGAAAAAGTCACATTGGTAATTGCCGTTGGTAGGTTTCGAACCCGCACCCTCATGCATGAGAAGTGGGCGTCTTAAACCTCCGGGCCACCACGACATTGGCACGTGATGCCACTGTACAATGTAACACCCACTTTTCACTATTTATGTTATGAGTCCCATATAATAGGGGGTGAGTCTATTAGAGCCTAGCCTAATCCTAGCCTAATCTTAGCTTAATGTATTTAAAAAAAATATATATATTATATACATTTTTTATAATATACTATATAAAAAAAAATTACAGTTTAAGTGATTTTATGAATGTGACATATTAACTCATTACTCATTTCTGTCAAAATAAAAAAAATGTACGTTATGTTTTCATCTTAGCGAATCATGTTGAGCTATTGTAATAATATTAACACTAATGTATACCATATTTTAGGCAAATAAATGATTCACTTATTTACTTAAAAGTTACTTAAAATGTACGAGATGTTAATAAAAAGGAGATAACTTTTCCAAGATGAGTTATCTAAGAGAAATATTTTACAAACGCTTTCTTTGTTAAGTTCCAAATTTAGACTTAATGGATTTTGCATTTAAGTGTCATTTAACTAAAAATTGCGAATAACTCACGTGAATATAGCCTACGTAGGCAGCGCGACATCGCCGCGACAACGCACGCTGCTCATGAGGAAGAACCCCGCAGTATTTCGAAACTAGTAGAGCTTCTCTCAGTATAATCACATGAGTAACCCGCGATATTCAGTTAATTTAGTACCTATGTCTCACGATTGTTATTATAAAAATCAAGTATCATTAATCAGATACCAGTAGATTTATGTGATGTATATAACATGACTACAAAATGAGTGATGGATATCGAGGCAGCACTATGAGCAGCTATAATGTTATTGCAAAGTGCATTAACCGATCTCCAAACCGATACAATCCCTTATCTTGGAATAATTTACCTACGTATCTCTGTTGAAATTCCAAACAAATAGACTGTACTCAGTAGAACCAATGAAATTTAATTTTAGGACTAATTCTTAGCAACCCTCAAAGCCCTCGCTGGAATTGATAATATTTAATTATTTCCAAATATTATTAAGTAGCGTTTTAACTGCGACTTTGTTTGCATTAGATAGGAGAAAACGTATTTATATCTATAACTTTTGGCAAAATTGACATTGAGTATATTGAGTTGAAATAGAAACGTTTTAATAATAATGTTTATCTTAATTGTGATCATTATCAATCACAAGGCGTTTACTACTGACTTCATCTAAAAACTTTTCACACAGATCGATTGAAAGCATTCTACACTTGGGAGCAAAGAAACGGGGCCACTAGCGTTGTTTTTTTTTTCATTTATTAATATTTTTTTTCTTGTACATTTTTTTAATTACGTGTCTCGTAGCCTTTTTACGATTAGAACTTTAACTAATTTTTAAAATTAGAACTTTTTGTGTTGTAATATATACATTTTTTTAAGTTATAAATAGTTTGATTTTTTTTAATTAGAACTTTTTTTGTAAAATATATTATATCTTTTTTAAGTTATAAATAGTTCTATCAAATGAAAAAAAAGTTAATGGCTTCGTTTCTTTACTTCAAGGTGTACATCCAGTAGCTACTTGCAAACTATTCTATTTCCTAACAAAATAAATTTACGAACAACTTAATCCTTTTTCTCAGTACAATAAACTCTGCACAATATTTAACCTCCATCGTTTCTCAGTAAACTGAAACTAGTAAAATATCAATACGAAGACATTTATGAATGTCTTTGTAAACACGAAAATTTCATGAAATTTTCCTTTATGAAACATTTCTACTTACTAGAATATAACTGGAAAATGTATACAAGGAGATAGAACAGCCAGTTCCTGGTATGGTCAAGTGGAAAGACAGAAGCAAATGGCAGAAGTAGTTTACAGTCCTGTTTTAATATAAATCTCCGGAACAAAGTTTCAAATAGCGGCGATAGCAAGTATTGAGCTGAACCGCTTAGGGTTACCCAATAGCTAGCTGAAATACAAGAGCATAATATATTCTTGTGTACTGAAAATTCAATAATATTACTGGTATCGCTTAAAGTTGTTATGGAAGAAGCATTCCTTATAGTCGAGAGAGCAAAAATTCAGTTTAGGAACTTATTTTAGCATGTTTATTATTGTAAGTAGAAAAATATGTAGGTAGTTTTTTTTCCTGCAGCGATAAAAAACTAAAACTGTTACCAGTTATTGGGATGATGTAGCATGGATTTCTACAAAGTAACACCTGATTCTATTCTTATCAACAGACAAAACACTTACCCTACACTGTTCATGATATTCATAACAAAGTTGTAAGAAATACTTAAGTTTAACCACTGTTAGGCGGATTAGTTTGTGCATAACGAAACGAAACATAACCCAACATTCTTCCACAAAAAATCTAAATGTATTTTGCCCATTAATGGTGACTTAAAATAATATGTCTTTTCTTCCATAACATAAGCAAAAATATAAAATCTAAATTACCTCTATTGATAAAGTCGAGCCTCCATAATACAGCGTCTTTGTCTTCAAATTGTTTTTCAGTAAATTTAACTCTCCAGAGTGAGCCAAGGTCTGATATAAATCTTGATATTTGTCTCGTCATCGGTATTAGAACTATTGATTTGAAGATGGCTACAATAAAGGAAAGAAACGGGACAGAATAAATAGTAAGAAGATCTCTCTATATTTTGTTTTGCTAAAGAACTCTGTGTATTATTTTGATTTAAACCTTTACACAACATCGCACTATTGGGGCATATATTATATCTAAGTGACTATTAGGTATATTAGTAAAGTAAATCCAAATAAAAACCTTCCAAAGCTTCTTGCAATTTTTTTAAAACAAAAGAAAATCAATGATTATAGAAAGTGTATACTAATTTAAATCTTACCCACCGTGGATAGTGACCAGAATAGAGGGTATCAGATAAGCAAACTGCGTCATCTCATCTCCTGTCAGCAGTTCAGGCATGTGAATGCTCATTGAAAAACCGTGTATGAAGATTGTAGCGAATATGTAGGAGAAACGCCAGTACTTCTTGGCGAATGGTTGATCTTCATTCAAATACCTGTGACGAATAAATTACTTATTTAAAGAATGCAATTGTCACCACTTCTACTTTGCCTGCGGGAGTCATGAGCTGACTATCGAATTACACATATTACAGACATTTGGCAGTAGGGCTTTCTGGTTAGCCAACCCTTTTATGCATAAAAATAAAAAGCTCAGACAGCGTCTCGAGCCGTTGATGATATACCTATTAATAAGTATGTACACGTATTATTTTAATATAAATAGTCATATACCTCACGTTAAAATTCTTCAACATTTCAAAACTGGTTTTTAAAGCCTTTGCGAAATCTTCGGGGAAGTCTTTAAGAACCTCCATTGTAACTAAATCTGAGTGTGATCGAGTGTTGAAGCTAAAATGATATATTTTTCCCTTGGCAAACGTTTGTTTGTATCAGACCAAGAAATTGTGTAGGTATCAATAATTTCCTTCATTATTTTTTAGGGATCAATAATTCTTATATTCTTTGTTAACCTGAATCTGGTTTTGTGTTACAAGTGAAACTACAGACACGAAATTTAAGCATTTGGTTCTTGATTAAAGCCTATTCGAGTTATAATATACTTTGTGTAAACTTGTTTGCCTGCTAATGCCAAACAACAAAAATCTTTTGTTTAAGTAAAAATATAAAAAGTGCAATTAATGTTGGTACGGTACCAAATAACATTTTACAATGTAGCCGACGGAACCAACACGATTTTTACCAATATAATAGAATAAAAATTCGCTGTATAATTTCACTAGTCCCCTACGGGGTGCATATTATTTTCTATTACCTTCGTGTCTTAGGCATATATTTTGTTCTAGACGTGTTATCTAAGAAATTGCGTATAAACAGTGTATTACGGACAACACACTGTATTTTTGCACCACACTGTAATCAAAATAAACGGTGAAACGTAATCAGTGTGCATATTTTATTAAAGTTGAATTAAAGTTTATTTTTCTTTGTTTTCTTTACTCAAATCGTGTTTGCTTTTAATTTGAGTATCGATGTATATTATGGGGTTTTTCTTTTTTGCGTACGTTTCCTTTTTGTTTATCTTTGCCCTTTGTTCATTTGTTGAAAAATAAAATTTCATCGTTTTATTTCCTCGTCGCATATAAGGTCTTCAATATTAGTATTTCAATTTCCTTAATCTGTCAAACACCAAGCGGTCACCGGTGACCGCGACCTATTGTTCTTTAATTGTGTCTATAAAACCGGTACTCGACGAGTTAATTAGAGTTGAGGCTTTTGTGAAAAGGAAAATATAATTAAAATAATATTTAACTCGTCGAGTACCGTATTTATAGACACAATTAAAGAACAATAGGTTGCGGTCACCGGCGACCGCTTGGTGTTTGACAGTTTAACATGACCTAGCATTTTGTACGTTATGTATATTCCAGTCTCCTCTTTTCGAATATAAAATAAGACTGTTCTTAACACTAGTACGTACTTACAAATATAACAAAGATATACATTCAACTTCGGGATAGCAAGGTTCATTAGTAAACAACTAGTACGACGGCTTGTTGTTGATCCGACGATGATGATGAGACATTCAAATAACAATTCTATGGAGAACACAATAGAGTGCAGTACACCTAGTACTTCACACTTCAATGAATATAATATAATATAACAATGACATGACGTAGGAGAAGGCAATGTTCCAGCATAAATATGTAGAGATATTTCAAAGCGAGATTCGATCAGAAATGAGATTTGTTGGAGATATGCCGGACATACATTGTTGAAACAAAAGCTATGTTTGTGGGACAAAGTTGGGAATTCTGACCAGGACATGACATGTAGTATCTACATAATATTTAGAGTACAGAGATTGTGTATCCTCTATGAAGTAGACAACTTGTAGCTCACTGCTTTGTTGTTGACCGGTAACCTGGGGTTGTGAACCGGGTTAAATACTAATAAACTAATACAAAGATGATATTTTTTTTATTATCTATTTTATTTTAAGGGGTTTTAACCAATAGGCTACGGCAGCCCCATCGTAGCCCAATCTTATTTATCTAAAACATTTTGAATTAACTAAAAATTAATTAGAAATATCAAATACCATGTCATCACTGTTGCAACATCCTTACAATAGACCGTGCTGCATTGCTTAAAGGTTCTGACAAAATACTAGAAAAAGATCCCAAATATTTTTTTTTTATATTATAATGTCGCATTAGTGAGTCCCTCGCCACCTTAAATTTAACACACTGCACCAGCATATGATAAACATCATCCAACTTACCACACACTTCACAGTTAGGTGAATTTACTTTTTTCATTACAAATGCGAAACTTTTTGTGGGATAATGTCCAGCTCGCAGAAAAATGATATTTAATACGCATTGTTTCTATTTCGGTAAAATCATTATCATTTTTATTTCAGCCTAGATCATCTAAATCAGGGATGTCCAAACAAAGGCCCGTACGATTGTCTTCATATATGGTCTGCGACACACATTTTAATCTCAAGATCTCCATCTTATGTGCAACAACAATAATAAAATTCAGTGTATGATTTGTTCACAAGTTTTGTCTGTAAGTAATTAATACAATGTTAAACGTCATTATACAATAATATTTTCTGTCGTTCCAGCTTTTGTAAGAAATTTAATTAGCCCGCGAAGGTATATACTTTGGATAGTCCGACATCTTCTTTACTTATAGTTTATACTAGTAAACTATTAAAAGTAATACTATATTAATCTTCCCATAACCTTCGATTTACAACGCAAAAAGCCAGTATATTTCCAGGGATCCGAGCTTGGCACATGACAAACGGGTACAATGTATTTACGATACAAAATGTATGATTTCAGATCAGTTGTTGTTGAAATATCGCCGAGAATCCGCTATTGCCGCTGGTAAATGCTCACTTTGAGGCATTACCGAGAGTTTTATACTTATTTTCCGTTTTATTTGGCAATTCAATAGAAGATAAGTTATCATTTCAGTAGGGGGATGTTTGGAAGTGGAGATTATTTGTTGAAATATTAATATATTGGTTTTCTTATTAATTATTGTAATTGTTTTATCGAAAGTGCTTGCCATTGTTGTGTTTTAAAGTTCATTGTACGACCAAACGTATCAGTTGATTTAAAATCTAATCACATTGATTTATTGCTGTTAAGAATATCAGGGAATAATAACATCATATTCTGTAAGTACAATCTATTTATTAATATTAGTTCCAAAACAGATTATGAACATCTTCATAAGCTTACTATCTACATTATATCCAATTAAACAGAAATTTCTAAGAAAATTTACTTCACAAAATCAAAGACCCCTACTAGAAAATTAATTAACACGAATAAATCATTGATTTATTAGCTCAGTCCAAAAACAATTCGTCTTTGCGAACCGTACACCTATTCTTTAGGCATACGCTTCTAAAATAATTTATTGGGTACGGTGTAACGTTGCCGAAATCCATTATGAAAATAATGGGACCCCAGTACGGGGCCCGAGGTAGGGGCCTCGGATGTCCGCCCCGATTAATGGAACGAACAACAAAACTAGTCATGGTTTTGAATAAATTTCACGTGAATTCTGACCTCTTAGTACAGGAGCTGGCGATAAATATTGCACATCCACATGGGAGGACACAATATTGTATTCAACTGTTTGAATTTTGAATTGAGTTTTGTTTGACGAATTTTTCAATGGTTTATGTAAATAGTTGTTTTTAGTTTTATTTTAATTTGTTTTTATCTTAAGTTGTATATATTTAATTTAGTAATAGTTGTATTAATTCTATTTAAATTTTGCCAATTGCTGTTTGATACAAATAATTCAATTTTCAATTCATAATCTGTATTTTCAAATAATAGTAAGCCGTGATATTAATAAATTTTTGTCGATTTTAATCTTTATATTATTCGAGCAGAGTACTCGATTTAATTCTAACCGATTTCAAAAAAAGAAGGAAGTTTTCAGTTTGACCTGTATCTGTATGTATATTTGTGCGCGATTATCTCGCTATTGGCTGAACCATTGAGTTTGTTACACTCAGGAAAAGGTTTTGGTATATTAAATAACCGACTTCACAAAAGGAGGATATTGTCTTTAAGGTTATTTTCTTTTCGATCTCTTTTACTGGATTTTGGTGTTACATTGTTCTCGCACAATCGAACCAATAAAACTGTGTAACTAGAGAATTGTATTGTGAACCTGATTGGAAAAGAGTAACCTATTGAATTTCTTGCTCGTTCTTCTCCATAGGAAACTACACCATGGAATGAGCAAATTAGGTTCACTTTTAAATTTCTATTGCAGACATTCAAAAGTGCCTTCCTGGTCTAATTGAAATAAATGATTGTGGCTTTTGACTTTTGAGGGGATTGAAGTTGGTATATTTTTATTTTATTTATATTAAATGGCTGATATTTGGCCACTATCTCGCCTGGTGATAAACGATGATGCGGCCTACAATGGAGCACGTCTAATAGCAACATAAGCAACTTATTCATTCGGATTTTACAAACGTTTGATATACCATCTTTATTGACTTAGCCAACAATATCTCATAAGTATGTGGTATATTTTGGTAGTACTAACAGTATTAATACTGTAATCATTATTATTTACCCAAAATATAATGAATAAATGATTTGATTTAATATGTAGTTAATAAAATAAATACAGCAGATTATAATCATAAGTAGGTAGTATACGCGGCGACTTTACCGATTATCTCTTTTCAAATACCGATGCGCAATATTTATTGCCGGGTACTGTAGCTTAGTGCTTACTCCTTGTTTATGTCTTCAGACTGTTTTATACCAAGTTTTATCTGTACTTTCATAAGTTATTACTTAGATGTCTGTTAGAGGTCAATGATCAGTTGTTTATTACATATTTCTCGTTTTCGACGCTATGGAACTTAATGTATCGTACTATAATGCTAAAGTTAGTATGTTTGTTAGTTTGTTACGTCTTCATATCAAAACGGCAGAAAAAATCGAAATGAAATTTGCACAGGCCACTTTTTATCCCACGAAAATGCATGTGAAGCCGTTGGCAGAAGCTAGTGAATAATATTTCTATGTTTATGTTTTGGCCACTACTTGAAAGTCATACTTTTACCGAACCCTTTAATAGTATAAATATTAAGAATTTCAAAATCATTACTAGAGGCTAAATTATGTAAACCAAAGCAAGGACTCGTCCTTGTAACCACTTAACCACTAAGGCAAGCAAAACATATCGTTACTCAACTAATTCCCTTGTAATTAAAGGGTTGGCTTATTTATCAAACATTGAGTATAGTTGAGTATTGTAAATACATACAGTATTAGTCCTATATGCTAGT